CGATGACTACTAGCTGTTGGTAAATGTCCGAATTTTGGGCATTTACCAATTGATTTCAGTAAAACCTAGGATACACAACATCGTTTGGTCAAACCCCGAATGATTTTTGTAGTTCGGACTTTTACAAACGAGATTTGATAAAACTTAGGATAAACAATCAGTGTTAGTAAAAGTCCAAAAGTTTTTAATAAAGTTACTAATTATTATTATTATTTAAGTATACTGAGATAACCAAATCTCGTTTGTAAAAGTCCAAACTATAAAAATCATTCGGGGTTTGACCAAACGATGTTGTGTATCCTAGGTCCGAAATTCGGACATTTACCAACAGTAGTCGTCGAAACCAAGGATTTATTGGTAAATCCTAGGTTTAACCGGTATTTGTACTTTTACCGTAACATATTATACACTACAAAATATTAAAAATAAATAATTCGCTTTATTTTAAAATTAAATAGGTAATGATATCATATAAGTATGATCATATTTACATATTATATTATGTAACTCAAATTAAGTAAAATCTTAATACTAAAAAAAAAACGAAAATACATACAACTAATAACGCAATAGTCAATATTCATTATGTATTAGTTCATGTGTCACCATAAATTTAAATAACATCAAATATTACACAAATACCAAATACGCATGAGGATAATATTATAATCCTTGTTATAAACCATAAGCCACTGAATAATCAATTATTTCTGAAAAAATATATTAGAATAAAATGTAAAAAAAAAAACCTTCACATATCTTATGAATACATTTTATGATCTATACCTTTCCGATAAATTATCATTTGTCAATATACTTTCCATCATTTTGTTTATAGCTGTTTCCTTATGCATCAAAACGGATATATTGAATAGGTACCTAACTACCAAAATTAACTGTTTTTCATTTGAATTAAAATTAAAATGTATTTATTTAATTTGTATATTATTACGAATTAAGCATTTTTTCAAAAAAAACTAATTAATTAATAAAAATTATTTTTAAAAATTTTAGTTGATATAATAACTTAATATCAAATTCAATATTTCCATAATTAACCATGATTGCATGAGGTGCATGACTCCGTTTGAAATTTTACAAAAATAATATGTTAATGAATCTTTACAAACATCGTTTGTAATACCTATGTTAAAATATCAATCGTTTATACATAACTAA